GGCATTCAATTTTTTAAAAAATAGAAAAAATAACAATTTAAAAATCAGCAATTAAAGACCAAAATGGAAATCCTGAAGATCAAAAATAGAGATTAATAAAATTGAAAAAAAAAAACCTTGACCTAACAAATAAAACTAGGAACTGGTTTTTATGAAATAAAACCCCAAAAATATCAAAGGAACTAATGAAAAGGAATGCAGGGAAAGGTGACCTAGCCATCCTAGATCTTTTATAAAGCAGCGGTCATCAAAACTACTTGGCACTGGCTAAGAAATAGAGTGGTGGATCAGTGGAATAGGTTAAGTATGGAAGACATAGTAGCCAATGACTATAGTAATCTAGTATTTGATAAACCCAAAGACCCCAACTTCTGGGATAAGAACTTACTCTTTGACAAAAACTGCTGGAAAACCTGGAAAAGAGTATGGTAGAAACTAGGCATAGATCAAATTCTCACACCATATACCAAAATAAAGTCAAAATGGGTTCATGATTTAGATATAAAGGTTGATACCATAAGCAAACTGGGAGAGCAAGGAATAGTTTACCTATCAGATTTATGGAGAACAGAAGAATTCATGACCAAACAGGAGATAGAGAACATTACAAAATGCAAAATGGATAACTTTGATTACATTAAATTGAAAAGTTTTTGCACAAACAAAGCCAGTGTGACCAAGATTAGAAGGAAAGTAGAAAATTGGGGAAAAAATTTTTATAACCAGTCTCTCTGATAAGGGCCTCATTTCTAAAATATATAGAGAATTAAGTCAAATTTATAAGAATACAAGTCATTCCCCAGTTGATAAGTGGTCAAAGGATATGAACAGGTAGTTCTCAGATGAAGAAATTAAAGCCATCTATAGTCATATGAAAAAATGCTCTAAATCACTATTGATTAGAGAAATGCAAATCAAAACAACTCTGAGGTACCACATCACACTTATCAGATTGGCCAACATGATAAAATAGGAAAATGATAAATGTTGGAGAAGATGTAGGAAAATTGGAACACTAATGCATTGTTGGTGGAGTTGTGAAATGATCCAACTAGTTTGGAGAGCAATTTGGAATTATGCCCAAAGGGCTATAAAAATGTGCATACCTTTTGACCCAGCAATACCACTTCTAGGGCTATATCCAAGACAGATCATACAAATGGGAAAAGGACCCACATGTACAAAAATATTTATAGCAGCTCTTTTTGTGGTGGCAAAGAATTGGAAATTGAGAGGATGTCCATCAAGTGGGGAATGGCTGAACAGGTTGTGGTATATGAATGTAATGGAATAGTATTGTGCTATAAGAAATGAACAGGCAGACTTCAGAAAAACCTGGAAAGACTTGTAATGTCTGATGCTGAGTGAAGTGAGCAGAACCAGGAGAACATCGTACACAGTAACAGCCACGTTGTGCGATGACTAACTTTGATAGACTTAACTCTTCTCAGCAATACAAGTATCTAAAACATCTCCAAAGGCCTCATGATGGAAAATGCTATCCACATATGAAGAAAGAACTATGGAGTTTGAATGCAGATTGAAGCATACTATTTACTATTTTTTTCTTTTGTTGTTTTGTTTCCTCTTTCTGGTGGTTCCCCCTATTGGTTCTAATTCTTACTTACAACATCACTAATGTGAAAACATGTTTAATAGGAATGTATATGTATAGCCTATATCAGATTGCATGCCATCTTGGAGAGGGAAGTGGGGAAGGAGAGGGAGAAAAATTTAAAATTCAAAAGCCTATGGAAGTGATTGTTGATAATTCAAAATAAAGTACTTAATTAAAAAGAAAACAAAAACCAAAAAAAATAGATAAACCATTGGGTAATTTGATTTAAAAAAAAGAAAGAAGGGAACCTAAATACCAGTATCAAAAATTAGAAGGGTGAATGAAGATAAAATGAAAGCAATTGTTGGAGCTATAATGCCCAATCCTATGCCAATAAATCTGACAATCTAACTGAAATGGATGAATATTTACAAAGGTTTAAATTGCCCAAATTAACAGAAGAGGAAATAGAATGCTTAAATAACCCTATCCTATAAAAAGAAATTGAACAAGCCATAAATGATCTCCCCAAGAAAAAATCTCTAGTACCAGATAGATTTACAAGTGAATTCTGTCATAGGGGCACCCAGGTGGTGCAGTGGATAGAGCACCAGCCCTGGAGTCAGGAAGACCTGAGTTCAAATATGACCTCAGACACGTAACACTTACTAGTTGTGTGACCTTGGGCAAGTCATTTAACCCCATTGCCTAGTCAAAAAAAAAGTGAATTCTGTCAAATATTTAAAGAACAATTAATTCCCAATAGTATATAAACATTTGGAAGAATATGTAAAGAAGGAGTCCTACCAAATTCCTTCTGTGATACAAAAACACAGCTTTGACACCTAAACCAGGAAGAGCAAAGCCAGAAAGAAACCTAGGCCAATTTCCCTACTGAATAGTGATGCAAAAATTTTAAATAAAATACTAGCAAGGAGATTACAGCAATACATCACAAAGATCATACACTATTACTATGGCGGTATTTAAACCAAGAATGCAGGACTCATTCAATATTTGGAATACTAGAAGTATAATTGATAACAAAAAGCAACAATCATATAATTACCTCAATAGAAGCCAAGAAACCCCCCAAAACTTTTACCAAAATACAACACTCATTCCTATTAAAAACACTAGAAACCACAGGAATAAATGAAGCTTTTCGTAAAATGATTAAGTATCTAAAACCAAGAGCAACCATTATCTCTAAAAGGGATAAACTTGAAGCCTTCTCAACAAGATCAGGGATGAAGCAAGGATGTCCATTACTATTCAATATAGAATAACTAGAAATGCTAGCTGTAGCAATAAGACAATAAATTGAAGGAATAAAAATAGGCAATGAAGAAACAAAACTATCATTATTTGCAGGTATGTTGGCATACTTAGAGAATCCCAGAGAAGCAACTAAAAGACTTGTTGAAAAAATGAACAACTTCAGCAAAGTTGCAGGATAAAAAATAAACCCGCATAAATCATCAGCATTGCTAAGTATTACCAACAAAACCAAGCTGAAAGACTTAGAACAAGAAATTCAATTTAAAATAACTGTAAAGAATGTAAAATAGTTGGCAGTCTGCATTCAAGACAAACCCAGGTACTGTATGAAAGCAAACACAAAATACTTTTCACACAAATAAAGGCAGATCTAAACAACTAGAGAAATAGTAATTGTTTATAGGCAGGCTAAGCCAATACAATAAAAACAACAGTTCTACCAGAATTAAACAAGAAATCAATCAACTACCCAAGAATTATTTTATGGAGTTAGAAAAAAGAACAAAAGGTCAAGAATGTCAAAGGAATCAATGGGAAAAAATGTGAAGGAAGGTACCAGATTTCAAACTATATTACAAAATGATAATCATCAAAATAATCTGGTACTAGCTAAGAAATAGAATGGTCTGTCAGTGCAATAGGTTAGGTACATAATACACAGTAGTAAATGAACATAGTAATGTAGAGTTTGATAAACCCAAAGATCCAAGCTTTGGCACAGTAACTTATTGAAAAAAAATTGCTGAGAAAACTGGAAAGCAGTTTGGCAGAAACTAAGCATAGACCAACATCTCACACCATATACCAGTGTAAAGTCGAGATGGATGCCAGATTTAGACATAGAGGGTGATATCATAAGCAAATTAGAAGATTATGGAAATTTTTACCTGTCATATCTATGGATAAAGGAAGAATATATGACCAAACAAGAGATAGAGAGGACCACAGGAGGTAAAATGGATAATTAAATTTTTAAAGAAGTTTTGTAGAAGCAAAACCAGGGTAACCAAGATTAGAAGGAGAGGAAACTGAGGGAGGAGAATTTACATTGTTTCTCTGATAAAAGCCTAATTTCTCAAATATATGGTGAACTGAGTCAAATTTACAAAAAATAAGAGCTCTTGCCCAATTGATAAATGGTTAAAGGCTATAAATGGGCAATTTTCAGAAGAAGAAATCAAAAGCTATCTATAGTTGTATGAAGAAATGCTCTAAATCACTACTGATTAAAGAAATGCAAATTAAAACACCTCCAAGGTACTACCTTACACTTATCAGATTGGCTAACATGACAGAAAAGAATGACAAGTGCTAGAGGGGATGTGCTAAACACTAATGCACTGTTGATGAACTTGTGAATTGGTCCAAACATTCTGGAGAACAATTTACTATGTGCATACCCTTTGACACAGCAACACCACTACTAGGTTTGTGTCCCAAGGAGATAAAGAAAGAGGGAAAGGACCTACATGTACAAGGATATTTATAGCAGCTCTTTTTGTGGTGGCAAAGAATTGGAAATTGAGGGAATATCCATCAATTAAAGAATGGCTGAACAAGTTGTAGTACATTATTGTGATGGAATACTATTGTGCTATAAGAAATGATAAGCAGCATGATTAGGATGATTTAAAGAAAAAACCTAGTAAGGTTATATGAACTGATGCAAAGTGAAGTGAGCAGAACCACAAGAACATGTACATAGTAACAGCAATACCATAACAATGATCAATTGAAAAGATTGATCTGCTCTGAAAAATACAATGATCTAAGACAATTCCAAAGGACTCATGATGAAAAAGCTGTCCATATTTGGAGAGAAAACTTATGAGCTCTAAGTATAGATTGAAACATAATTTTTTATTTCTTGCTTTTTTATCATCATGGCTGGTATTGAAATATACTTTGCATGATTTCACATGTGTAATTGATATCATTGCTTGCCTTCTCAATGGGGAAAAAAGGGAGAGAATCTAAAACTCAATATTTTTTTAAAAGAATGTCAAAAGTAAATAAATATCTTTTTTTAAAAAATGTTTCAATGGACATGACACTTTTAAAAGGGGGGCATCACTACATAAAATTTTGAAACCACTGACAATACTGATGCTCATTGTAAATTGGTGCAATGACATGCCTTTGTTATTTTTATGTAACTTACTTGGGTTTAAAATAATGATCCGTATTGCATCTTTCAATATTCCATATAGTTACAAACTTTGTATTGGATAGACACAGTTGGCGCCAGTTCATGGGGTTAAATGTCATCTGGCTTACTTCCATACCTGGTTGTGATCTTCTACACAAAATGACTTTTGTCTCCCAATTCCTTAAAAGAATAAAAAAAATCATTATGAAATAACAATAACAATTATTATAGCTAACATTTATATAGTGCTTACTAGTGCCTTACTATAGTACTTCTGTGCCTTACTATAGTGCTTACTGCGCTAAGCACTTTACAATTATTACATTATTTGATCCTTACAACAACCCTAAGAGGTAGTTGCTAATATTTTTTTCTTTTTACAGATAAAAAAACTGAGGCTAACGGAAGTTAAGTGTCTTATCCAGGGTGACATAGCTAATAAGTCTCCAAGGCTGGATTTGAATTCAGATCTTTCTTACTCCATATCCAGTGCTCTAACACTGCACCACCTAGCAAAACATAATTATACTGAAATGTCATAAAAGTATTGTTTAATTATGTGTATATATGACATTGCTGATTACATGATATTAATAAGCTTACAAATATTTTAATGTGATACCCAATTTTACTTTACATGTAAACCACAATAATATATTTTAATGCCTTAGATAATGCCAGAGTAATCCATACCTATTAATTTTCATTATTAGAATCTGAATAATACTTGTAATCCAAATAGGTAATTCAGCAGACCAGAGACTGAGACCAAAATGTCATAGTAAAAAGACTGATTTACTGACATAATTATGCTTCTTTTTAAATGTCTGTTTAAGTACTGCATATATATGTGTGAAAAGAAAAGCAGCATGGAACTGTTAATAGGCCAACCTTGGTGTCATGAATACTGTATCAATGCAGAAAATAGGTCTAGATAGGTCTAGATTTTTTTTTAAAGGGCACATGGGGGCAGCTTGGTGGTACAGTGGATAGAGCACCAGCCTTGGAGTCAGGAGGACCTAAGTTCATATCCAGCCTCAGACACTTGACACTTACTAGCTGTGTGATCCTAGGCAAGTCACTTAACCCCATTGCCTAGCACCCCCCAAAAAAAAATCCAAAAAGGGCATATGACTGAATACCCATTGTGACAAGGTACTAGTGATGCCTAATGATCTTTCATTCTCCAGAATTTTTGTCATAGATTTATTCATTATTTTGTCAATAAATATTTATTGAATACTTACAAAGTACAAGTTTCTATCGGTGATAAAGATGTATAAACCAATCTTCCTGCAGTATTGTATTGGCACTTCCAATCTAGTAATGCTTGTTCCTTAGTAATTGTGTTAACTGCTTTCTTTGCTCCTGTTCACATGCTATTGAATGGACTTCAGAGTCATAGGAGTAACAAGATGATAGACTAGATATGTTCTCCAATCCTTATGACTTTTCAAACCTCTCCAAAAGAAATATTATGCACCAAAGATAAAACAACTTCAGCTATTTCCATGGTCTAGGATACCAAGGACCCAAAAGAAGGTTAGAAAACAAACAAACCCTGAAATGCAGGAACTGGTGCTCACTGATCCTGAGCTGACTCAACATCCTTCCCCAGTTCCCACATTACTAGCAGCAAGGCTGCACTAGCAGACCTAAGGACAAGACACAGGTTTATATCAAAACCCACTCCTATACCCAGGTCCCCACTCTCCCTCTTTCCTTGTAGTAGAGACCGCAGCTTCAGGCTGAGGAAATTTCCTCCTGCCTCAACAATCAGCTTAGTCAAAGCCTTTCAGGAATAAAAGCCTGCTGAGGGCTGCAACCTGAAAGCATGAGTGCTGCAAATCTCTGAACTGCCAATAGCTCTGAACTACTAATGTGCTTTGAATTGCCGCTCCCAGGCCAGCAAACAATGGAATGGTCAGACAGGTCACTAGGATGACACGTAGGGAGCTGTGTGGCAGTCCACCATGACAGAAGGAAGAGCGCAATATTCAACTGGGGCCAGTTCTGACAACCCAAAAGTCAGCTGGAGCAGAGACCTGGTGAGCCATAAATTGTCCAGTGTGGGAGAAGGCTGAGTCACTTGGTCTTACAAATTTGTGTTATTTAATCTTAACTGGGCCCTTTCTGTAGCAACATAAACATTTTTCCCTTCTCCACCATCAATTTGTTATTTTATTCTCCATGGAGTAGAAGTGTTTAAAAAGTTCTCATCTCTCCTCCAGCTTCTCAAGTCACCCATTCCCTCTACCTGTAAGCTTAGGACTTCACCTCATATTTCACAGAAAAAATGAAGCCATTCACTAATGGTTTCCCTTTCTCTTTTTTTCTTTATCTCACATCATTCAGAATCTTCCCCACTATCTCCTTCACTCCAGTCTAAACCCTTCTATATGTACCCTCAATCCCATCACCTTTCAATTTCTCCAGTTGATTGTACCCACTGTCATTCCCACTCTGTCTTATCTTCAAGATCTTCCTATCTCTTGGCTCCCCCTACCTAAAAGCCTCCCATGTTTCCTCTGTCTTTAAACAAAACAAAACACAACACAACACATAACTCACTTGTTCCTACCATTCTCACTAGCTACCTCCCTTTATCTTAACTCCCTTTGGTGGCTAAACTGCTTTATAAAGTCATTTGCATTCAGTATGTCCCCTTCCTCTCCTCTCATACTTTTCTAAACACAGCAACTAAAGCTTGCCTCTCCAGAGTTGCTAGTGATCTCTTATTTGACAAGCCTAATGATCTTTTCTCAGTCCTCAACCTTATTGGCTTCTCTGCAACATTTGACCTTCTCTCTCCCCAGACACTGTCTCATCTCTGGGTTTGGAGAACACTCTTCTTTCCTGGTTCTCCTGTCTGTCTCCTCAGCTACCTTTGCTTCATCAATGTCACACCCACAGATACAGGCATTCCTCAAAGCTCCATCCTGAGTCCTATTCTCTCTCCATACTATCTGTTTATTTCATTTCATCAGTCCCTATAGATTCAAGTCAACAAACATTTATTAAATGACTATTCTGTGCCAGGCACCATACTAAATACTGGGGATACAAGGAAAAGTGAAAACAATTCCTTCTTTCCAGTAGTTTATAGTTGAATGGGTGTGGGAAGACAACATGCAAACAGCAAAGTACAAACAAAATATACACAGGATAATTCAGAGATAATTTCAGAGGGAAAGAATTAATATTAAGGAAGACTGGGGAAGGCTTCTTGCAGAAGATTGAGATTTTATTTGAGGCTTGAAGGAAGCCAGGGCAGCCCAGAGGTGGAGATGAGGGTGGTTCAGTTATCCTCTTTATGCAGTTGATTCCCAGATTTGTACACCCAACTTCACTGTCTTCTGTGCTCCAGTCTCATCAGCCACCTTTTGACATCTTGAACTGGATATGCCATAGGCATCTTTAACTCAATATGAACAAAACACAACTCATATATTTGATTCCCTGCCCCCTCTTACAAGCTTCTGTATTACAAATGAGAGCACTACTGCCTTCCTGATAATGGCACCCAAGTTTACAACCTTGGCATCATCCTCAACTCCTCTAACTTGTTTAGCCCATATTTCCATTCTATTGCCAAATCTGATTGTTTTATTTCCACAATCTTTTGTATGTCCCCTCTGCTCACACAGGCACAATCATAGTTCAAACTCTCATCACTTCTTGCCTAGATTGTGGCAATGGCCTTTTAATTGGTCTCCCTGCTTCTAGTCTCTCTTAACTCTAATCCACCCTTCACTCAGCTGCTGTTTTTAAAGTGTAAGTTTGACCACCATGTAACACACACACACACACACACACACACACACACACACACACACACACACACACATGCTCAGTGAGCTTCAGTGTTTGCCTATTACCTCCAGAATAAAACATAAATTGCTTTGTTTGGCACTTAAAGGTCATAACTTGACTTCTTCCTACCATTCCAATCTTCTTTCATGTCACTTCCTCTTTGACTCTATGATATGCTTGTAGCTCCTCCAGTAGAAACTTGATCCCTGTACACACACATACACACACACACACACACACACACACACACACACACACACACACACGCACACACACCCCCCTCATCCTAAATGTTCTGGACTCTATTTTCCACCTCTTAAGTTTTTGTGGCTTCAAATTCTACCTTCTACGATAGGCCTTTCTAAGAGCCTGAACTGCCTTCCTTGCAGATGACTTCCATTTACCCTGTATATATCTTTTGTGTAACCAGTTTACATTTCTCTTCCACTAGAATGCAAGCTCCTTGAGGACAGGGACCTTTTTTTTGTTTGAATCTTCAAGACTAGGCAGAACACCTGATACATAGTAATTGCTTAAACCTTGTAAACTAACTGGATAATATTGTTGGACCATTGCTATTATAGAAAACAATGAAAGAATTTTGGATTTTCAGATCTGCTTCTGTTTGTGTATGTTTGTGTATATGTATGTATCTATATCTATAAATCTGTATCTTCAATCTATCCTCTAGACTTTAAGCTCTTTGGAGTAAGATATGTCATGTATTATTTCCAGAGTTTAACGTATTATATTGTACTTAATGACTTAATGTTTGTTAATAATTATGATATTAGTCCCAAATTTAAAATACAAACTTTGGTATTCTCCTCATGCTTTGTAATAGTTCTGCTGTCTCCCATGTTCCTTTCAATGACAACATATTAAATTAAATATTCAAAAAACACCTATCTAAAAACTTTGTCCTTTAAGGGGTCCATGTATTTGGCTGTTTAAAACCTAGATTATCATGTTCTCTGAAGATAGTTTAAATTCTTATGAATAATTAAGTTTTATATCTCTCCTTTATCAAGTTAGGAAATATATTTCTTAAACCACCATGAAAAGCATTGCTACTATTTATTTTCTCCAAGTAAAACAAAAATATGCTAGATAATGAAACTTACCATAGTGTTACTTCATGTTCTGGAATTGCAGAGTAACTAGCCAGGTATATTCCAGAGTAACTAAATTCAAGTAAGGTGTAGTCCAGTTGAGCATTCCCTAATGCAGAAAATCAGATCCATGTTAGGTATGTCTTCAGTTCAAGCATTCTATAGAGTTCATTTCCCTTTTTCTAATTTTAATTGTAATTTTCTTTTCCCATATCAAATACTCTCATATCATGTTTTACTTGCATTTTTCCCCTTTCTCAGAAATAACTTGGAGTAAAAATGTTAGAAGTTATTTTTTAAAAATAGACACCAGTGATAAAATAAAAGAAATATTATTACCTTCTCTTATTTCTCTGTGGAGAACTAATTCTTATAAAATATATTTCCCAGGATGATTTCAAATGGCAAATACTTCTTTTCACCAATTTGGAACACTATTCATAAAAAATCACTGGTAAATTTCTTCTAATGATCTTGAATTTACATTTGCTTTATTTAAACAGCTACATAACTTACTTCCTTTGGCACCTTCAGATAAGGGTTATAAACCCCACAAGTCCTCTCAGGTCATATTTAGTCTTCAGTTTAGTTTCCTAATAACTACAGGACATGAACAAAATGGTTAAGAGACAGCATGGAATAGTTGCACGTGGAGTCCACTTTTGACACTTATTAGCTGCGCGAATGTGGGGAAATCACTAAAACTCTGGATTCTTAGTTTCCTCACATGTAACATGAGGTAGTGGTAGTGAAGGGTGTTGGATTAGAAAGCTTCTAAGGTTCCTTTTAGGTCAAATATAGGATGTCTATTTATGCCTCTACCTGTAAAAATACCTGACTTTATTAAAAAATTTTATATCAGTAATACCCTGAAATGTCATAGGATGGAAATAATTATCAACGTCTGTGTCTCTATATATCATTCATTCTCAGGATTTTTGTGGTTTACACTCACTGTCTTTTTGTGTCTGTATACATAGATCTATATGTGTCTATATATATCTTGGTCTCTTCTCATCATCCCCTCACTATACATATATGTATCTGTCTCTGTCTCTCTTTTCCACTCTCTCACTACAATCTCAGAGAAAAACATATAGGTATATATGTTTATAATGTGTATAGACTATGTCTATATACATTTACATATTAGATATATTTTAAATTTGCCTATTGAATCATTTATTAACACATCAAATTTTAATATAAAAATTAAAAATAGCTTTCTAAACTTAATGTAGAAGTTGTAGAATTAAGAAAAGACCATTAGACTTGTCAAATAAGAGATCACTAACAACTCTAGAGAGAGAAGCTTTGGTTGCAGTGTTTAGAAAAGTATGAGAGGAGAGGAAGGGGGCATACTGAATGTAAATGACTTTATAAAGCAGTTTAGCTACCAAGAGGAGTTAAGATAAAGGGAGATAGCTAGAGAGAATGGGAGGATCAAGTAAGGTATGTGTTTTGTTTTGCTTTGTTTAAAGACAGAGGAAACATGGGTGGCTTTTAGGTAGAGTGGGAATGACTGTGGATGCAATTAACTGGAGAAATTGGGAGGTGATGGCATTGAGGGGACATATAGAAGGGTATAGACTGGAGTGAAGGAGATAGTGGGGAAGATTCTGAATGATGTGAGATAAAGAAGAAAAGAGAAAGGGAAACTATAAGTGAAACTATAAGACTTTTTCTTAAGTTAGTAACCATTTAGCATAGCAAGAAAGGTGGCACCATTGAACTGTGGGTCCAGGAAGATAGCCATTTCAGTTAAAGGAGAAAAAAAACCTCTCTGTCTGTCTGTCTTTGTCTCTCTCTCTCTCTCTCTCTCTCTCTCTCTCTCTCTCTCTCTCTCTCTCTCTCTCTCTCTCTCTCTCTCTCTCTCTCTCTCTCTCTCTGTTTCCTGCAGCCTGTAAATGTAAAGCAGGAAAAATTTAGGCCCCACTGCTGCCGTTTGGTAACTAGCCATCACACTACTATGAAAAACCCTATAAAGCTTGGAGAAAACACGGACTCTTCCTCTGCAGTACAGAAATGAAGCCAATTGGGTCAAGTATTCTGGGGCTCTTTTCTTTTAGATCTTTGAGTGTTGTTCCCTCCTACTGTATTCCTGGGTAGGGGCAGGAGGGAGTCTTTGGGAGTCTCTTGTGTTCTGCAGGTTGTCAAGTTGTCCCTGTCTTGGACACAGGAAATGCCAAAGAGAGTTGACTCTGAGGATCAGTGTTACAAGGTTAATGATGAAGGTTGATGGCACCTTCGGACCCATTTTCACTTTTCTTTTTCTCACATTTTTCACATTTTCTTTTAGGAAGGGTCTGTGTTAGAGGCCCAGGGACCATAAATCATCAATAAGAAGAAAAGTTCCCAGTAGTGCTTTAAGTTTTTTACCCCTCTCTAACTGAGGATAACCTATCCTATAGGATCACAGATCTGAAGCTGGAAGGGATCTCAGAAAGGCGCCTTCTCTTCATATTACAGATGAGGAAAAATGCCTAGGGGTAAATAACTTCTTACAAGTTACACAAGTTGGAAGAACCAGAGGCTGGGTTTGAATCCAAGTCCTCTGACTTCAGAACCAGAGGTTTTTTTCCCCACTATACCATACCTGCCTCAAAGAGGGTTAATCAAATTTTGTAATACAAATTTACTCCTAAAATTTTCATATTTGGTGGATATTTTGATATCTCAACACAATAAAGTTTTCGTAAAGCAAGGTCCTCAGATTCTTACTCTGATCTAGAGTATTTTATGAAAAGCTAAAGTTTTAAACAATAAATTTAAAGCATATTTTAGATGATTTTTCCCAATTAAAAAAGTCTGCCTTATCAATGAAATAGAAGACCTACATATTAACAACACAAATCCTCCATAGAACTAATTCTTTTTGTATTTTAAAGACCTAGAAATTTCCAAATATAAACAGATGAGGAGACCATTTGCCATGGACAAGTATGATAAATTTAGTTTTACTCTATCTGAAGAAAATAACTGAGTTATTTTGTGGTAGTATGCTGAAACAAGTCTTTGAACCTGAAAATCATATGTTTTGACTTCAGGTGAATAAACAATTATCTAGTTTTTCAAACAAAGTGATACAAATTTTACTACTAGTTCATAACATATTATTTGTGTCAAATGGATTTTTGCTATTTTAAAGACAAATCTCAATCTTGATTAGTGGTTGAAAAAGACTTATGAGCTCTCAAATGCTTGGAAAAGTGTCTTGCTATATTGCCAAATTATATATAGTTGGTTCATTTAAAGATGAGTATAGTATAAGGTATGTCATAACTTAAGAATATGTTGTGTTCCAAGTTTCTTTATAAGCCAATTGTACGGAATGAATTTTTTGCATAGAAAAAATGTCTTAAGTTATGGTTAGGTTCCCAAGCTAGGCCAACAAAACCTCCTTGTATCTCAACTTTATTAGTTAGTTAAATAGATAGATAGGTGAATATATCCATCTACATAGCTACATGCATATGCAGATATATTGTATCTTAACTATATTGTACTAATAGTAACTCCAAGACCTTTAGTCCCTGAACCACTTTGAGACTTAAGCACTTTTTTCAAAGAGAAAGAAGGCAGAAGGGCTATTTGTATGTAGAAGTCATTTTTATGCTATGTGACTTCCCCCAATTATTTCTACCAGTCATTTTGGATAGCTGCACAAATAGCAATCCAACTACATTTTCAATAAATCATAACAAAATATCACCACTTTGAAAAAGACATTCCAACTGAACATAAGACTGACTTCCCCAGTTCATTAATTGATCCAATTCCTAATGTCTGGATCTTATCTCCAAGGATATATTTCTGAAAGTTTTTAGTTCTTCAGAAAGAATAGCTTAGGTTGTTAGGTTGTTATGATACTTTTTTTTTCAACTCCAGAAAGAATAATTCTCATAGATTACCTTTTAATTTGGCCCTTTTGGTCATTGAAGGAAAGCTGTATATGTAGATGGAGGGTTTAAGCTTCCGGTCTGAAAAAGCCACCACTTCATAAGGAATATTAGTTGCCACAGCACCCACTTTTCCATTTGTACACTGTAGAACAGTCCTTTTCTTTTTTTCCATATTCACAAAAATTAAAAAATTCCCACAAGGGTAGCAAATTGTGGTGCTGTTGATAAAAGCAATATTCTTCACAGGGAATCCCTGCACCCATCTTTGGGAAAGGATACATCACCATCAATAATTACACAGACTGAACCGTTTTTAAAGAAAGAAAACAAAAGGATCATCAAAAAAATTTTAAAGTCATACCATTTCCCTCCCCTAATGATATATTTCTGATTTTTAAAAAAATCTCCTAAAGTTTTCTGCCTATTCATATTGTGTCATGAATTACAGAATTGTAAACACAAATCTTTAAAGATGGGCCTCAACAATAAATAAATTTATTATACTTAAGTAATTCCTCTCTGGCCACTACTGGGAGAAACTGAGGACTGATAGAAGGATGTGTATTTAGGGATGAAAAGAACCGGAAAACATGAGAGAAGAAAGTTTTGTTCTAATTATAAAGCATAGTGCAGCCATTCACCCTCTTTTCTAGTGTGCTTTCAATGTAGTGTGTGTGTATATATATATATATATATATATATATATATATATATATATATATATATATATATATACACATATATGTATACATTTTAAATAATGATAATGGGGAAGTTTTGTATGTTAGCAGAAGAATAATTCTTTGCTGACTTAAGTAGTATGAAAAGTTAAACATGGTACAAGTGAAACGACTTCACGGAAGGAAAGGAATGAGGAGCTTCATATGAGAATGGACTGGAGCTAGACTACACATGCAGCAATGTCTTACAGAAAGGGGACAGTATGTTTGCGGTGGGGAGCCATTTAAATGTTAAAGTTATGGATTGTGTTAATCGAGCAAGTAAGGAGCAAGTGAAAACCCGGGTAGAAAAAAAAATCAGTACTGAGCCTATTTACATGCATAACTTCAGGTAGGGGGAACAGAGTAGAGCCAAGCCCCCCAGGTAACAGTCAATCAGGGAGTGAAAGTCAGCAAAAGAGAGTAGAGATCTATAGAAGACTAAGATGAACATCTCAGATGAAAAATCAGCGATGAAAGGGTAATAATGCAGTGAAAAGGCAGAGTCATAGGGTGCAACAGAGGTCAAAGGACAAAGTAATAATTTTTTGCCGGAGAGAAAGCGTCACAAGGGATCGGAGTTCGAAAAAGGTGGGAGACAATTCAGAGCACCTCACAGACAGGGTTGCACTCAGCTTGTTGTCTGATGCCTCTTTGTCTTTGCCACTCATCGTAGCTGGAGGTGTTCAGAACAAAAGAAAACTTCAAGGAATCGTGAATCTCCTTTTACAAAAATGCAGCCACCAACCGCTTCTCCTTCACTACCAGCAGACGCGATGGGGACTGTTTTCATTAGTATCCAAGAAACAGTAACCCTGGTGCCTATATTCGTCCAGTCATTGGGGCGATCGTCACAGTAGGGGGACGGATGGAAAATCGAACATCAGGAGTCAAAGGGGAGGGCGATAATGAAGGATCAAGGAGAAGGCAGGATCACGAGGAATAATGGGCGTCCGAGAGAAGTCTGAGGCGCAGTGAATAACAGGGCTAAAAAGGCAAAGAGCAAGTATTTGAGAAAAAGCACCTCTCTCCCTGAATTCTTCGTATTGTTCGTTTCTTATGCCTAGCGGTATGCCCTTACCCAAATTGCTTCGCCATTCCCTGCTTAATGGGCACATGTTTCCAGTTACTATAAAGAACAGGAAGGGGCTTTGGAAAACCCAAACTGAGGAGGGAAATACCTGGACGTCTCAGCCAATTGACGGGGGAGACAGAGTTAAAGAGCAGAGAAGATTGAAGGTGGGGGCCAGGAAGGGGACAGAGCGGTGTGAGGTGTGAGCTCCAGGCATTAAACATCAGATTGTGAATGGGGTGAGGAGTTTGGGAAAAGCTGCGGGTAGCCCAATTTGGCTGGATCTCAACGGATGTGTTAAGAGGAACGTGGTGCGTTGAGGCAAGAGGAGTTAAAATAGTCTCTTTCAATGGGCCGATTGGGTCAAATGCACATGCGCAAACCAGTAGGGAAGGGAGGGGGAGAATCCAGAAAGGACTAAAGCGCTGAAAAGTCAATAGGGCAGTCAATCAAAACACTGCCTTGGTGCGGGGAAGAAAATATCTTCAAGCTTGCTGAGCTCCCGGCGCCTCCTGGGTTTGCTGTTAACACTCCCTCTCAGGGGCAGGAAAACGGAAGAGCTTTTCAGAACTCAAGTTATCTCACTGATAGCACACATAAGTTGTGGTCACTCTGGCCATGAATTGTCCCAGAGAAGTAGGGAAGTGGGACGAGAAACAGAGGTGATGATAAGAAAAAGATCTATTTGTAATTGTCTTTTCCTAGGAAGAATTCTTTCTCCAAATTCTCCAGGGTCACTGCTACCTTCAAAAGTCCAGCGCAAGCCCTCAGATCTCGGCTGCAGCTCCCTTCACCTCCCGCCCCCGGCTACTCCCCACTAATGTCTGCGAGTTCTTCCCGGAATCAGACAATCCCATACTGCAATTCCGATCTCCGAGATTCTCATATCCTCTCCACTCTCCCTGTCCTCTTCTTCTAGCACTTCGTGACCCCTGGTCTTGCTCTTTGACTCTCTAGATTCTTCTTCACCCCACCCCCAGTTTCTCAAATCTTTGACATTAGCATTCTACTGAGACTACAGTAGTTAGGCCCTAAGGAAGTCCTCAGGAATTTGATTGGTTAAAACGCTTGGGTGAATGGACTGTTTCTGAAAAGAACCACCCCTCCCCCCCACTTCGAGTTTGCTTATGCCTGAGCAGACGCGGCTCTTCTTTTACCCACCCATCCATCCTCCCCACCTCCCCCCCCTTTTTTGGCCCTTTCTCTTGCAGAATTGTCATTCCCACTCTCTCCCCACCTCTCAGCCAGTAATAGTACCTTTGGGCTGAAAAGTGAAGAGCTGAATTTATTCCAGTTAACGTGGCTCAAGGAGAGAATTCCTGGACCCCATCTTTGCCTCAGCCCTAGTGATAGCCTCTTGGCTCAAGAGATGGCAGCTGCTGAGGCAGTGATGGAGGATCTTGGAGAATCCCACAAAAGCTATACTTGCACCTCCCCGTGGTCCCAGAGATCACACAGCTAATTACTAAGCTAGGATTTGAACTCAGGTCTTGACTCCAAAAGCATTCTGTCTACTGTGCCACCTAACTGCCTGCCTGCCTATATTATTTTTTTTTGTAATGCCACATATTTTGTTTTATGCACTTAATATTCTGAGATGGGGTCCTTAGGCTTCACTGCCAAAAGGGTCCATGTCGAAAAAAAAAAAAGATTAAGAACTAGAGAGCTGGGAGTTGCAGAGCACTGTGCCTCTTAGACAAAGAGGATTATCCACGTGGTCCCCTGCAGCTGGAGAGTAGTAAAGCACTAGAGCCCTAAAATGGGGGAGTTGAAGGCTTGTCCTTTGACCCTCACCATTAGCCTGAGTAATTCAGTCAGTGGCTTTACAATGGGAAGGGGATTGCCTCTTCAGCAACCTCAAAGTGTGTTTACCTTTTGGGGAGAGTCCAAATTAGAGTACCATTATGAATGTTGGTGTGTTCAACCTCAAGAAGCCCCAAGTTCAGTTCCCTTGCAAGGGGAGCTTATGGTATAGGGACTGTGAGGTTTTTATATGTTTCCTATATCTGTTAATGGGCTCCTGTGAGTCCCTTTTTTTTTTTAAGCAAAGCAATAGGGGTAAGTGACTTGCCCAGGGGCACACATCTAGTAAGTGTTATGTGTCCGAGGTCGGATTTGAACTCAGGTCCTCCTGAATCCAGGACCAGTGCTCTATTCACTGTGCTACCTAGCTGCCCCTCCTGTGAGTCCTTTTTGCTTTCTACATTTTCTGTAGGGCAAAATAAAGATCCTTTTCTACCCCCTCCAAAAAAAAAATCGGTTTTGATTTTGAATGCTTGTATGGAACCTAGGGACCCAGTTAGTTACCCGCATTTGGGAAAAGCTAGATATGAACATATTTTGAGATTTCCTAGAGTATACTGAGTGTTAGCATAACAATCCAAAAAAAAATAATCCTGGTCATTTGAATCAGCTCCTGAGATGGGGCTCAGTTTGTGTGAGCCTGATCATTGTGGGGTCATGGGACATGGGTTACAAAGTTTATGGACTCAAACATTTTTAGATCTATTTTTTATTCTTTTTCATTTCAATGAAAATTATGAGCACAGGGAGGTATTAATGAGAAAACACTTTCAGTCCTATTTTTCATTCTTCTTAAAACCATGAATACTGTTCATCCCCATGATCCATAATGATAGGGTCTAGGGCAGTTGCAATGATTATTAACAAGAAGCAGTCCTTCCTTTCAATGTAATTTACCCTCTATTAGGAATTACATGTACTAACTGCAATACAAAATATGAAATGATAAATGTATAAAAAGATACAAAGGACTCTAGTTGTAGCAAGCATTACATTTAAGAGGATAAAACAGATACAATATATCCAAATATGGGCTTGGTTTTTTTTAATTTATTTTAGAACACAAATTAAATTATTTTATAAAAATATTTCCACTAGTGAATTCTATTAGTACCTTTAAAATATTTAATTTACACAAATTTTATTCACCATTTTTCAGCAACACATTTTGTAGGAAGTGAGATATACCTGTCTTATTGCTAGGTTCTTAAAAACCCGGTTCCCATAATTACAGTGTTCCTTTCGAAACCTAAAAAAAAAAAAAGACAAAACCTAATCTGGGACCATGTAAGAACTTGTATTTATCTTTGTTCTTGTATTGTACCTTTGTACAATATTGTAGCCTGTGGTAAAGGGAACAAAGGTAAATACAACACAATATAAATTGAGTAATGCTGATTTAAACTCTAAACCTTAAAACTCAGCACTTTGCTAAAATTAAGATCTAAGTTTGGTTCTGCCTCTGCCATATACTAGCTGGGTGACATTGAGCAAAGCACTCAACCTCTCTGAGCCTCAGTTTCCTTACTTATAAAGCAAAGACAATAACTGATCTGCCTGTCTTACAGGGCTTTTTATCAAATAATATTCACATACATACAGTTTTTTGTAACCCTAAAGCACTATTCAACATAAAACTCTTATTTGCTGCTCTATCTCCTAAGGATTGATGTTTCAAAGAAAAGTTAAAAATTCTCACCTCATCTCTTTGCTCAGCTCAGAACTTATGCCTGAGTATTAAATTAAATAGATAAATAAAACCTACTATTGAAATCTGTTGCTAAAGATATTGCACAGGAATCAGCAATAAACTATTTTACTTGGTGGGTTTATGGAAACACTATTTGGGTTAACAAGAAGAGCATGAAGCAGTGGTCAAGGAAGCAGCAGGGGAAGATACTAGAGCAGCATCCACCCCCTCCAAAAAAATTGCACAAGATAATAGTTCAGTCTTTCAATTCTTTGCTGACATCTAAGCTAAACACCTTCAATTCGTATGGCCACATGATATGATTTCCATGGCCAATTCCTTTTTAAAAAAATTTTATTAATTTATTTTGATTTATCAATAATCACTTCCACATGCTTTTGAGTTTAAAATTTTTCTCCCCCTCCTTCCCTACCACCCTCCCCAAGATGGTGCACAATCTGATACAGGATATACATTTACATTCCTATTAAACATATTTTCACATTAGTGGTGGTATAAGTAAAAATTAAAACCAATACGAGGAACCATTAGAAAGAGGAAACAAAACTCAACAGAAGAGAAAAAGAATAGCAATTCAACTTTCATAGTTCTTTCTTTGGATGTGGATAGCATTTTCCATCACGAGGCCCCTGGAGATATCTTAGATCCTTGTATTGCTGAGAAGGGTTAAGTTTATCAATATTAGTCATCACACAACGTGGCTGTTGTTGTGTACAACGTTCTCTCGGTTCTGCTCATTTCACTCAGCATCAGACTATACAAGTCTTTCCAGGTTTTTCTGAAGTCAGCCTGTTCATCATTTCTTATAGCTCAATAGTATTCAATTACATTCATACACCACAACTTGCTCAGCCATTCCCCAATTGATGGACATCCTCTCAATTTTACATGGCCAATTCCTATGGCCATATGATATGATCTGAGCCTTAGACTGGGTCTCCTGTCATCCTAGCACCTTCTTTTTTAAGAGCAGCTTTATGGTAGAATGTAAAGAACACTGAACCTCAGGTCAGAAGATAGAGAATGGCAAGCCAAAGAGAGCTGTGCTTGGAGTCAAAGGACCTGGTTCCACAAGTTTGAGGCCTTGGGCAAGTCACCATGACTCTTGTCCAATGGGGATGATGGTACTTCATAGCCTCCATCATTTACTCCTGGAAACGTAGTCCAAGGGTTCTGTTTTTCCCTTTGTGTCCTGAACTCCATTTGGCCACACTCTAGTAAACTCTAGAGACTTTTTCTCACAACCATGTATTAAAGTAATTTAGCAAATGTTAAATTTCAGTTATAGCTTAGTGAAAATACAGGTGTAATTTTCCGCCCAACCAAATTCACAGACTCCCAGAAATCTATGCATAGACCTGTAAAGGATGTGGGGGGGGGGTAGGGGTCTGTGGATCTCAAGCTAAGTACTCCTTCTCTACTCCAACCCTTTCATTTTACAGATAAGGAAACTGAGAAACAACAAAGCTAAGTGACTTAAGCTCATCAGGGAGTAAGCGGTAGAATCAGAACTGCCACCTGATCCCTAGACTCCAAATTCAGCCCTTGTTCCCCTACAAATTGCTTTCCTGCTTCTTACCATTGTGAAGAAGCCATCTGTGGATTCAAAATGAGACATAAATTTTTATACACCATCCCATTTTGCTTGATTATACTTGTGGCAAGGAAGGGCTAATATCTGGTGGTGGAGGGGGTTAGTAGGTGAGTAATGGTAGGGATGCAAAAAAGAAAAGAAAGAAAAAGAAAAAAGAGACAGGAAGGAGGGAGAAAGGGAAAGAGGGAAGTAAGAAAATAAAGAAGAGAGGGAGGAAGGAAGATAGGAAAAAGGGAAAGAGAAGAAAGAGAAAGGAATAAAAAGGGAGAGAGAGGGAGGGAAGGAAAGGATGGAGAAAGAAAGTAAGAAGGGAGGAAAGAAGAAAGGAAGGAAAAAAAGAACATCATTAAAACATTTAAAATACACAAAAGAGAGCAGAAGGGAGTTTAGAAGTGGACTCAGAGAAGCAGAGAAGTTTTGTTCCTATTATATCAAATTCAATATGCTCTTAAAAACAAAGAGTAGGTAATAGAAGATCACAACTTCATATGCAATCCTCTTTTTTTCTGTTCTTTATATATTGAAATAATCATGTTAAGTTCACACTAAAAAGGGGAAAACATTAAGAGAAAGCACTTCGTAAAGTATAAGGCAGAATATAGTTGCATATATTATAGTTTGTAAATGAGAGGCAACATGGACACTATGACTTAGAGCTGACATTTATAGTTAGGAAAGCTAGTCTTGCCTCAGATACACAGTAGTTGTATGACCGTGGGCAAGTCACTTAATCTCTCAGCGCTCTAGGCAGTTTAAGAGGTAAGTTGCATAGAAGATGCCCGATTGCAAAGCAAGAGAGTGTTTTTATCCTATACTCATGAAATCACAGATACAGTTTTCCAGAAATGTAGTAAGCACTCCTCTTTCTCCTTCCCTCCCTCCTTCCCTCCCTCCTCCTGCTCCTCCTCCTCCCCCTTCCCGCCCCCTTCCTCTCTCCTCCCTCTGTTCCTCATTCCCCACCCCCCTTCTGAATCTAAAGCCCAGCCCATGGGTTGACTTTGGGGGGGGGTGGTGAAAAAACAGCCTACCAGGCAGTTCCTTCCTGAGTAAGCTGTAGAGCCAGGGACCTTCGGGAAACAAGTTCTGTTCAGAGGGAGGAATAATGTCCCAAGGATCAAGTAGGAGCCTGGGCAAAGGTGAGTCCTTGGCAAAGGCCTGCCTGGGGTATGGTGTGTTGTCAGAAGCCACTAGATAAAGCCTTTGTCTGATCACTTTCCCATGAAAGGAGGGCAGAGCACCTGTGTTTCCGGGTCTGATGGAGGAGTGGGGGAATGATGGCTCCCAGCACAGACGCCTGCTCCAGTCGATAGCCTAATAACTCTAGATCTGGAAGGAAACTCAAAGACCATCTAGTCTAACCCTCACATTTGATAAAGAGGAAGCCAAGGCACAGTGAAGCTCAGTGACTTGCCCAAAGTCTCCCAGGTAGTATCAGAGATGGGATTCAAACCCAGGTCCCCAACTCCAAATTCTGTGTACTTTTGTCCACCAGATGGAACTGGCCTCTAACCTGTGGGGGGTCAGAGCTGAACAAAGTAGGCTAGAGACAGGACAATTATTTTAAACAAGTTTAATTTCAAAGTGAGGAAAACAGCTTGCAATAAAGGACTCATATGCTGGAACCCCACCCCTAGTGAGTGGTCCCAGAGGCAGCATGGGCAGGTCTCAGTACTTCTACCTGTGGCTGTGGAGTTAGCTGTAGCCCTGACAATGAGGGGTAACAGCAACGACGTGACAAGTTTGATTCATGGCAGGGCCTCATGACCAGAAACAATTCTGGGACTTTGCTGTGGCTGAGATCATCCAGAGGGTGAGCGTGAAGGATCGTTGTTATGCCAAATTCAGGGCTGAGCCTGCTTGCTGGGCCTTAGCTCTAGAAAATAGGTGTTTCTTAATATCTTGACACTTTCCACTGAGTCGTATTGCCTCTCCTTAGCTCCTTAGGGAATAAAGAAAGGGGGATTTCTGCTTCACATAGTAGTGGGACAACAAACATTTAGCACTTACTACTTGTGTGAAGCACTGTTCTAAGCCCTGGGGATACAAAGAAAAGCAAAAACAGTCTCTGCCCTCCAGGAGTTCACATTCTAAGAAGGGAGACAACATGCAATCACAACTCTCTACATAGAATTCATATATAGGGTAAATCTTAGAGGGAAGGCAGTGGGGATGAGGAGGTAGGGGAGAGAACTAGGAAAGCCTTCTTGTAGAGGGAAGAATTTGGCCTGAATAGGAGACAGGCAATGAAAAGACATGGAGTAAGATTATGGAGATTGGAGAGGAAATGTCCTTTTTGAAGAACAACGAGGTCAGTGTCACTAGATCTTACAGTATAAGAGGTATATAAGACTAGAGAGGAAGAGACCCAGTGGTGAAGAGCTTTAAGAGCAAGATTTTGTGTTTGACTCTGCAGATAAAAGGAAGCCACTGGAGTTTATTGAATAGGGAAGTGACATGGTCAGACCTATGCTTTTTGAAGATCTCTTGGGCATTTGAGCAGGAGGAGACTTGATTCAAGGAGACCAAGAAGCAGGCTCTTGTAATAGACCAGGATTGAGGCAATGAAGGTCTGGACCACAGCAGCAACACTGTGAATGGAGAGAAGAGGATGTGTATGAGAGATACTGCAAAAAGTAAAAAGATACTGCAAAGACAAAATATTATTTTAGGGTCCCCTCTCCAAATAAGAGCTATGAAGTATGGGTGACTGATAGGGTTCTTTCCAGAATAATAATTGGCCTATCAAATATTCTTGTAGGAAGCTCCCCCCCGGGGCCTGTACCAGATGGAATCGTCCGTGTCTACAGCATGAGATTCTGTCCTTTTGCCCAGAGAACTCTTCTTGTCCTGCAGGCCAAAGGAATCAAGTGAGAACAAAGATCCCTTTAATTCCTTAAGCAATTCTTAAAGCAGTAATGGTACCAAGCGAAAATTACCTAAGGACTCCAAGTGCTCTTTATTGATTACAAAATCAGATTAGAACATTTGGGACAGCTGGGAAGGTTCTAGCACACACTTTGCGTCTTATGTAACTCATTTGCGTCACACAGCCGAGCTGGGAATAGATATCGTTTGTTATTCTTCTCAGAGTTGAGGAAACAGGGCTGACTGAATTGAAATAAATCACCCATGAACAAGAAGATGATTTCCAAAGGGAACTTGGAGCTCTGGTTTTCTTGACTGAAGGCTAATATTCTCTCCACTCTTCCACCCTACAAAATGGCAGACAGATAAAGGGCCTTAGAAGCCATTTAGTCTAAGCCCCTACTTTTATTTTTTAGTGCTTTATTGTTGTTGACCTTTGCTTTTTATGTGATAATCACTTATCAATAACAATTCCCAACACCTTCCCTTACAACCTTCTGACAGCATGTACAACAATCTACACCCTTAGCCTACCATATCTTTTCCAGAGGCAAGAAATCTGTTTCATCTTTGGTCCTTTAGAACCAAGCTTGGTTTTGCATTTAAATCTAGATTCTGATGCCTTTTAATCTTGTTTTCATTTACATGATTGTAGTTGTATATGTTGTTTTCCTGCTTCTTTCTTTGTTTTGTATCAGTTCATACAGGCTTTCCCATGTTTCTCTGAATTCCTTATATTTCTCATTTCTTAAATTGCAAAGATATTCTGTTACGGTCATGGACCAAACTGGTTCGGCCATTCCACAGTCAGTGGGCTCTCATTTTGTTTCCTGTTTTTTGCCATTGCAAAAAGTACATCAATGAGTACTTTCTTGTATAACAGGGTTTCTCCCTGTCATTTACCTCCATGGGATATATAGTACCTTGTAAGAATGATTGCTGGGTCAAAGGTATAAATAGCTCAGTAATTTTTGTCCCATAATTCCAGCTTGTTTTCTAGAACAGTTAGACTGATGCACAACTACACAAACAATGAATTAGTGTGCTTGTCTTCCCACAGCCGTTGACTTTTTCCATCTTTTATAACTTCAGTCAGTTTGAAGGGCATGAAGTAAAATCCCAATTGTCTTAAATTCCATTCTTCTGCTCTAGTAATTTGGAATATTTTCAATGGTTGTTGATAGTTTGCATTTCTTCTTTTTGAAAGTCCATTTCTTTGACTGATATGGGGAGCTGCTTTGGTCATATGTTTGCATTATTTTCCTTTGTATCTTTAATATCAGAATGTTTAATGCCCTCACTTGATAGCTCTTCTTATTCTAAGTGTATTACTTTGTTTTTCACATAAAAGCTTTTAAATTTTGTACATTTGATTGTGTATATAGTCATCTTTTCTATCTCTTATTTGATTCATTTCTCCCCAACCATAATTGAAAAGATAGTACTTTCTTCCTTCTCCTCTGATGTTGTTTTAGGACGTTTTTTTATTTTATGATTTGCTGTACAATCTTTTTCACTTAGATCACATCTATATGAAGCTTATTATAGTAAATGGTGCAAGAGATGGTGGTCTAAGCCTGTTTTCTGTTTTCCAGTATTCTCAGCAGCCTTTGGCAAAATAGGAGTCCTTCCCCCTGTTGTTTGTGTTCTTGTAAATGTTCCACCCACTTCTAAAAATAGGAATGTGAGATTAAGAGAGTGGAAGTTATGCAAAGTCATGCTTCGTTGTAGATCTGGAACCAGCATCCAGCTCTCCTGACTCTCCATATGCTTCCTTGCCCTGCCTATTTCTTCCTCTGGTAGAGGATTCCCATCATTTTATGGGCCTTCCTACTGTTTCATGTATTGTTTCCTTGAGGGCAAGGACCATGTCTCATCCTTTTGAACCTGCCACAATGTCAAGCAGAGTTCTAGTCATATAACAAATGTGAAGGAACAATCTAGGATCCTATGATTGTCATTGAAGTCCCACCTCTGACACTTACTGGCTCTATGACCATTGGTAAACTGCCTAAGCTCAGTGAGCCTGAGTTTCTTCATATTTTAAATAGGGAGAACAACGCCAATAGTATGGATGTCACATATTGTTCTGAGGACAACCCACCTTCAAAGTTCTATGCAAATAGAAACCATTTTCACTGAAAAGTACAACTTCCAGCTTGCTGTGGCTGATCCTCTAACTTCTCAGTTCACTATGTGGGCTTACTAAAAAGGGTACCCTATGAGGTTTGTTCCCTTAAATCACAAAGGAAAATCTTTACCTTTCTCAAGCCCTCAGGCATACTGGCATGTATTTGGAGCTGGAATGAATCTGAGTTCATTTAGTTCAACTCCGTAATTTTGGAGATGAGGAAACTGAGACCCAGTAGGTGATTTCCCCAAGATCATACAGATAATTAATAATGTTGTTGTTCAGACATTTCAGTCATGTCCAACTCTTTGTGACCTCATGTAAGGTTTTCTTGGCAAAGATACTGGAGTGGTTTGCTATTTCTTTCCTCAGCTTATTTTACAGATGAGGAAACTGAGGCAAACAGTGTTGTGACTTGCTCAGGGTCACACAGCTGTTACGCATCCGAGGCTGAATTCAAACTCAAGAGTCTTCCCGACTGTAGGCCCAATGCTCTGTCCACTATACCACCCAGCTGCCCAAATGTATTTTTTATGCAAGTGTAAAACTTTAATTGTTATCAAAATCTAACTTTTTCTTACTATCTGTAAAATCCCTTGGACAAAATACTAGGAAGGTCTAATTGTGTTTTGCATAAAACATAGACTTCATATACTTCTTGCTTTGTTGGAATTGAGGCAAAGCAAAAGGAATTTAATTAAAGAGAAAATTCACCAAAGACCTGGATTTTCAAAATGATTTTTCAACATCCTTAACTTCATTTCCTCAAGTAAAACAAAGCTGTATGCAGCTAGTTCCTTTTCATGCTTTGAAGCTATAAGTATGAAGCTGAAGATAAGTAGGAGCAGATTGAGCTCAAATGTATGCCTGAGAGTATACGACCTAGACCTTACTTAGTAGACGTTCATCTCCTAGTGAATAAGCTGTCTTGACCTGAATATCTCTGGTGTAGATAAAGCTGCATAGTTAAGAAAATATGAGATAATATGCCAACCTTAAAGTGCTATAAATAATTAAATATCAAATAAATAAATGCTAGCTATTATTACACAATTCATCATTTTTTACTCTTTTCCTTCTTTCAGGCACGAAATCATCAACATCAACCTGAAAAACAAACCTGAGTGGTTCTTTAAGAAGAATCCTTTTGGTCTAGTACCAGTTCTGGAGACCAGTCAGGGTCAACTGATCTATGAATCTCTTATCACTTGTGAGTATCTAGATGAAGCCTATCCAGGGAAGTTGTTTCCAGAGGATCCCTATGAGAAAGCTTTTCAAAAGATGATTTTGGAGTTGTTCTCTAAGGTACAGTATACAAAAGAAATCCCTTCTTTTTTTTCCTTTTAGCAACCCAAGTCAATAGTGATATTGATTGTCCAGTTATTTGGAACTCAGGTGGGGGCTAAAAATAAACATATGCTCATATTTTTGTTAAACTGTGCTCATAAACCAATAATTTAACAAGCATTTAGGAGAATGAAAAAGAAAATAGCATCATTATAACATAGAGGTATCTACACAATTTATGGCTGACAAGTATGTGTTTTATACATTGAGACTAGTGGTCTTATACTACATTTCTAAAGTGTTATATCTTAACGTGGTAGTTTATATGCAGTAAATATTATGATTAGGTATTTTACATCTTGAGAAAGAAATGTTTCAACCCAATAATTCAGTAATTTAAAAATCATGTGCAAAGTATTATATGATGTGAAATAAAATTGCAAGACATAGATTTTAAAGGGAATATTTTTGTGATCAGACAGATTTAGGAACTATATTAAGAGGGAAAGACCACGAGGTTAGAGGAAATTCATGATTAAGGGGAAGAGCTATGCTTTATAGGGAAGCTAACTGTCTAAGCAAAATGAGGATGATATGACAGAGGAAACTGACATTGTAGAAGAGAATGGAGGGAAAAGTAAGGAATTAAAAGTAGCAAGGTAGAAAACCACTGTTCAGTGTGGCAAAAGAAAATTAAGTGAGGTTAAAAACTAAAGTCGCATTGAAAAGGCATCTTGCTATAAAATAAAGTTGCTTATATCAAATGTTTTATTTCATTTCTTCTCAGGAATGTAGCATATTTCTCTTTGTCCAATATATCAATATATGCACACATGTGTGTATATGTATGTATATGTGTATATATGTACACGAACATACATGTAATATATCCACTAATTTTGTTCCCTTAAGTTTGAGTTTAAAAATAGGGATCTCTATATTGAGATGAGAGAGTAGTGCAGAGGTACCTTAAATCCATAACCAAAGACCTTCTGCCCTTATTAACCTGTGTTCAAGTACTGCCTTTGGCTGTAAAATGTAGCTTAGCAGCTCTGGAAACAAAGGGATACTTAAAGAGTACGTGTAAGATCTGTAAAGTGGATGGTATACTCAAGGATCAAGACGAGAAGAGGACTCTACTATATTTTTAGGTGAAAGACAAACATATTCACCCTTGAATGTTATTTACCAAAACTTGTTTCTCTATTTAGGTACCACCTTTGTGTTTGGATATTTTGATAGGAGTAAGGAAAGGAAAAGACTGCTCTACTCAGAAAACAGAACTCTGTGCAGTGTTCAGCCGCCTGGAGGAGGTAAAGAATGGAGTGTGTCTCTTATACCAAACATAATCGAGTAACAGTTGTTCAGGAGCCACATCATTCTTCCTGTTTTCTTCTTCTTGCAAAGGCATTTTCTTCTGTCTTTCCTCTTTTTTTCTGTATCGACATTTCTTTCTCCCTTTTCTACAGGGTAGTTTCATAACACTAATTTCAGTAACTGAGATTTTTTTTCTTTTAAACCTTAATGTGAATGTCTTTTTTAGTAGGAAAAAAGTCCAATCTTTTCTGATTGTCTTTTACTCAGCTAGGGGAAATTTTAAGAGTTGAATTGTACAAAAATGTGATGAGGCCTTGCTTTGCCAAATGAAAAGCATTTCATAAGAATATACCATTTTTACAAAATTAATTCTAGTTAATATCAGGTAATGTTTTTAATGAAATCCCAATGACCTTAAAGAATGAGTTCTAAAGCCCCTTCCTCATCTCTGTGAGAAAAGGCAATATGACACTGTGTATAGAGTACTGGACTTGTATTCAAAAAGACCTGAACACTTCTGATCCAAACTGCTTGGCCACATACAAGTAACTTACTCTCTCTTAAGTCTCACTCAACTTTATAAGACTTACCTACAAACTTGTAGAACAGTTGTGATCTGTGCTGGAAGTCAGAGTTAAGTTTGTTATTTATTAATGTTCAATTTTCCATGGAATTAATTTATATGATAAACACATTTTTAGAGTTGTTAAAGAAAGTAGATGATCTTACAATATCCATTTAGGGTAGACAGGAATTCAAGGTTCTCTTTAATTTTTAGATTAGGAGAGATCAATTTAATTCAATTAAACAAACATTTATTAAAGGACATACTATTTATAGATCTGTCTGCTAGGTATTGGGGAAAATGCAAAGCTTTGATTAAACATTTTGCCTTTCCTAATAGAACTTATAATTTATTGTAGAGAGGCTAAAATGCACACACAAATAACTGCGCAAAATAACAAATAAATTACAAATAGCACAGAAATGCATTGAAAGATGCTATTGTATTTAAGTTTAAACATTTGCATCACATAATATACCAGTGGAAAGAAATGGAACTGAAACAAAACCTAATTCATCTTTTAGGCTTTCATTTAAATAGAAACTCTAGGAAAATAGGTGACTGTTGTTTGTTCAGCTACAGTAGCCAAAGTCAAGTTTGTTGAGTAGCCTCGTTTATTATTAGCATCCATTATTAGCTAGCTTACTTAAGAAGTGGTTTATGTTTAATGACATATTTACAAATGAGTAGAACTATAAGTGACATCCTCGCTAAGAACTTCCATCTGCGAATTTGAATTCCTTGAGCCATGATTCTTCATAATTCTGTATTCCACCTAACTTCCCTTCCTCACCCCTTCCCTAGCCCTAGGCCATCCCTCCCAGACCGACCTGAGTTGAACTCTGAATGGGAAGCCCTGTCACCACTTATCTTCCCTTTTTATCCCTTCCCTTGGCAAAATATTTGCTAAAGTAAAATTGTTATGAGTAAGACTTTTATCTTCAAAATAAAAGTCCCACCATAAGGTCCTAGCCCATCCAAATTGATTGTTGTTGTTCAGTCACATCCAACTCTTCATGATCCCATTTGGGGTTTTCTTGGCAAAGATACTGCAGTGGTTTGCCATTTCCTTCTCCAACTCATTTTACAGATGAGGAACTGAGGCAAACTAGGCTAAGTGACTCGTCCAGGGTCACACAGCTAGTCAGTGTCCGAGGCTGGATTTGAACTCATGAAGTTGAGTCTTTCTGATTCTAAGCCCAGTGCTCTGTCCACTATGCCACCTAGCTGCTTCTAATTGATTAGTGACTGAGTACGTGCAAACTAGCCCACTTAGCCCATTATAATTACTTGGCTGGCTCTAGAAACCAGACCATGTTTCAGCTCCATGCCCCATTTGGCCGGCCAGCCAGGCCACCCCATTGTCAGCACCCCCCCCCTTTTGCTTTCTCAGAACACATCTCCCTTCCCTGGTCACCTCTTCCTTATGTATGTTGTTTCTCCCATTAGAATTTTTAAATCTCTGTGTCCCTTAGTGCTTAGCACAATGCCTGGTACACAGCAGGCATGTACCAATAAAGACTTTTTCATTCATTCATTCAAGATATGAGTTAAGAGCCTTCAGCGTAGTTAAGATACCATGTATAGTGGAGTGTCCATCTGTCTGGGTTACCTGTGCTCTGAACAATGCCGCATTCTTCTGACCTGCTCCCTAGCAAATGTTCTTTGTTGACTTGCAGACTAGACAGATGCCATAGGAGAAGAACCGGTAGCCCATATAATCAAAGTGAAAAATTTAGGCAAATATATATAATGTGTCAAAGTATATTGAGACTTAATATAGGAGTCAGAAAGATCTGGATTCAAGTCTGGCCTTTAGCACATACTGGCTATGTAAGGCTGGGCAAATCCCCTACCATTTCAGTATCTTAGGCAGGGAGCTGAGAAGTCAGCTGGAACCAGTTTGGGAGAGAAATCTTCAATATGAGTGTTTATACTTCAGAAACCAGCAAATTTTGGTGTTAAACCAGGGCATTATTCATTCATTCATTTGTTTATTTTTGATCATCTACTCTAGACTTAAGAAAGTGATGAAGAAAATGTTAATAATGCAGATTAAACCTGTGGAGAGCTGATTGTTAAACATTTGCTGGCACCCCATTGGCCCTGGGTAACTCTTTAAGACTCTATGTGGTGGAGCAGGCACTAATTAAGATTGATAGAGGAAATTCCTCACCAGGAATACCAGTGAAGTCACAGGTCTAGTTTAAAAAAAATACAACTCACATGAGCTGTGTTTTTCTTTTCTTAATTAGGTAATTATCTCAGTTTCCCTTCCCCCTCTTCATTTTGGTAGAAATTTGGCAATGTCATACTCCCATTTAACTTCTTAAATTTCAGACACGTTTACTTGTTATTTTAACATTTTTCTCAGCATGAAATCAAGTGTTACTCCATATTCTTTTATTATCTGTTGGTGTTGGCTGGTTTGCTCCATTTGGAAATCAAAGGATTGTTTACTTTCAATGTCACTGGCCAGTTTAGCAGTCAACAAATCCTAAGGTCAGAGGGCTCAACTAGGCAAAGAATACAATAAAAAGCCAGGTCTGGACTAAATTTATTACTACTGCATCTGATGTCTCTAAGTAGCTGATTGGGCACAAAAAGAAGAACTTATTTTTTGTCTGTCCAACTTTTCAGGTTCTTACTTGTCAGAAGACAACTTTCTTTGGTGGGAACACTATATCCATGATTGATTACCTCATCTGGCCCTGGTTTGAACGTCTGGGACCATATGGGATGGCAGAGTAAGAGAGTTTACTATTTTGTGGTAAATTTCTTGGTCTTATAAAGGATGGTTTTTGAAATAATTTCATCCCAAATTATCAAGCCTTTTTTGGGAGGATGATGAAGAGGAGGATTAAGGTGTTAGGAAGTAAAGTAAGCTTTTAAAATAACTTATTATTCTCCTGGTTAAAAATGCAAGTGTACATTCCAGTGATCACAAGCTATAGGCCCAGATGAGACTGAATAATGCCAACTTTGCCTTACTTAAATCCACTTGCAAGTCTAGACATCACCATGATGTCATTAGTCCTCTTCTAAAACAAAGGACAAACAACAGCTTAGTTCTCCAAAGCAAGACTGCATGTTCATTACCCCTTTGATAATGTTTAATATTCAAGTTTTTCATACTGCCTTATCCAAACATCCCAGATTGCTAAGACTGATTGAAAGTCAGCACATTGTCATTTTGGCTTTCTTCTCAACTGTTTTCATGAGGATTATTTGCTTTCATTTATAGTACTATAATGTGACCTTTAAAGATGGGCTGTACTTAATATACTGGGTGGTCTTATTATATGTTTCTAATATTTTAAAAATAATTTTAATTTAATGGCAAGAGTGTTAGACACATAAACGTCTGGCTCTGGCACTAACTAGTTATGTGGCCTTGGACAAATAAGTTCATCTCTCTGTATCTTAATTTCTTCATTGTAAAGTTCCTTCTAGTTTTAACATTCTATATAAATCTATCATTCAATTAAACTCAACAGTCATTTATTAAGCATTTACTATGTGTGAGGTCACACAGCCAAGATGGAATGAAAATAGAGGTCACAGAAGTTTAGGAGGCTGAAGAATTGAAAGGCCAGGGTGTTTGGGGGGACATTGTTGCATATGCTTAAATGCCCAAGCACCAGGGCAGGAGTTGGAGTACAAAGGAAGACTGTGAGACAGTTACTGAAGTCGAAGGAAAGGAGGTAGAATAATCTAGAGGTCTATAGATAATTAAGACAAAGTTTGGACTCAGATAATCAAAAGGGATGTAGTGAACCTCAAGAAGGAAAAGCCTGCTGAGTGATGGGAGGAAAGGGACAATTTGAAAATAAGAGTAAGGAAGGAGTATACCTATTCTTCCTCTATGGAATCAAAAATTGTCCAATCTGCAAGAAAAGCCACTGAGGCAGAGCTCCAAGCCAATAGCATTTTATTAAAGGGTTCATGGCTCCCTCTAATGAAGTGGACCTCAGATCCTCCTCACAATCTGAGATACCCCTGGTCCCCAGGACCTTGTTTTCATAGGAATTGATGCCAGGTTTGATACTTGGATGCTTGAGAGGCAACATACACTACAAAATCCCATTGGTTGATAGACCTCATTTTGAGGGCCAAAAGTGGTGCATCAGCTAAAAAATGGTTCATCAGCAAGGGGGTGTTGGGTTAGATGAAGCATGGGATGTCTCCACTGACTTAATTGTTCATAAGATGAGCAAGGCAATAGTCATCTCCAGTGACTTAAGTGGTTATAAGATGGTCACCTGCTGGGACAATAGAGAGTGGTCCAAAGGTACAAAAATTAGCTGGGGGGATTTTCCAAAGAATTAAGACATCCCACCCATACTGGGTTTGGATTTGGAATCTGATCAAAACAGGATGGAGATGTCTTTGTCAGCATTGTTGTGGTTGCATAAGTGAACTTCATCACTGGTAAACAAGTGGTAAACATCAGATTAAAGTATGAGGCCTACTATAAGAAGCTACCTTATTTAATTATCCATACATGGTTTATGTAAAATATTAAACTGATTAATACTGATTGAAATAGAGTAGGGATGTAAATGAATCATTCCCCACACCTCCTAACCCAGTGTTATGGGGGGCATGAGAAAAACACAGAATTTCAGACTCAGAAGAGACTTCAGGCTTCATCTAGTCTAACTCATTGCTAAAAAAGAATCCCCACAAAAATACTGCTCCCCCCACATTTCCCAGTACTGGAGAGGGTGGCCAGGGGTACAATATGTTCTGTTTAGGGTAGGGAAGTATTTTTTAAAGGTTATGGTAAAAAATAAAATAAGTTGCAAGGTAAAGACAGTAATAAATGAAAATGGTGGTGCCTTCCTATTTCATGCAAATAATACTTTTTTTTTTAATCTATTCTCTCAGCTGTGTGGACCACACTTCGAAACTTAAGCTCTGGATAGCAGCCATGAAGAAGGATCCTACAGTAACAGCTCTCCTCATGGAAGAGAAAACTGTGCAAAATTTCTTACATCTCTATTTTCAGAACAGTCCTGAGGCCTGTGATTATGGTCTGTGAGGGGACAGTGATCAGCAAAAAAGGTTCTATACCTTGCCCTCTGGGTTTTTCTCCGTACTTAATAAAAAATATATATCCTGCATATAATATTGCATTAATTTTTTGATTGAAATATTTTTCTTTTTTAAATTTATTTTTCAACATTCACTTTCATGAGATTTTGAGTTCTAGATTTTCTCCCCATCTCTCCCCTCCCCCACCCCAAAATGGTGTACAATCTGATATAGGCTCTACATATACATTCATATTGAACCTATTTTCACATTAGTCATGTTATAAAGAAGAATCACAACCAATGGGAGAAACCATGAGAAAGAAAAAACAAACAAAAGGAAAAAAAGATCAAATCATGTACTTCGATCTGCCTTCAGACTCCCTGGTTCTTTTTCTGCATGTAGTTAGCATTTTCTACATGAGTCTTTTGCTGTCGTCTTGGATCCTTGCATTGCTGAGAGGAGATGAGTCTGCCAAAGTTAGACCTCTCACATTGTGGCTGTTACCATGTACTATGTTCTCCTGGTTCTGCTCATTTCACTCAGCATCAGTTCATGTAAGTCTTTCCAGGTTTTTCTGAATTCCGCCTGTTCATCATTTCTTATGGCACAATACTATTCCATCACATTCACATACCACCACTTGTTCAGCCATTCCCCAACTGATGAACATCCCCTCAGTTTCCAATTCTTTGCCACCACAAAAAAAGAGTTGCTATAAATATTTTTGTACATATGGGTCCTTTTCCCATTTTTACGATCTCTTTGGGATACAGACCTAGAAGTGGTATTGCTGGGTCAAAGGATATGCACATTTTTGTAGCCCTTTGGGCATAGTTCCAAATTGTTCTCCAAAATGGTTGGATCAGTTCATAACTCCACCAACATGGATTTTTTTAAAAATCAGATTGTTTTCTTACCTATCATGTCCTTTACACTTATTCTGTTTCCTTTGCTTGATGCTTCCTTCCTCTTTGCATGTCCCACAAGGCCTTCTAGCCTTTCTCTGGATATCTTTATTCCTACAGTGAACTTGTACTATCAGCTCTATACTGATTATGTGGACTCTCAAATCAGTATTTTCTACATTTTGGTCCTTTATCTCTTAATGCTTGAAGAATATGTTTACTTCAATGTGTTGCTGTCAACTTCAATTCATAACTGTAGCTGAATTTATCTTATCTTCACCAATGGAACTCTTTTTTAATTAAAAAAAAGGGGGTATCATTGAATGATATATTACAGTTTATTGCAGTAATATCTATGGATTTGTAATCAGAGGGTCCGGGTCCAGATCTTGGCTCCACTGTTTACTTCCTTTGCTAACATGGACAAATTACATCATCTCTCAGGCCCTCAGCTTCCTCACCTATTAAAGTGAGGATTAAAACAGCTATGATTCTGTCAATGCAGCCTCAGTATCTACTATCTTAAACCCCTGTTTCCTCTGGCAGCCTGGGAACCTGCAAACCCCCAGAAGGTAGCTGCCTACTTCTTTCCTAAGGGTTCTAGGTATAAAGCTGAGAGACTGGGAGTGTTTTTCTAATGCTATTGCTCAGGAGCCCCCAATTGATTATCAGTTGCTATCAATTAGCTAGCTATACTTAACCTGTAGAAAGAAGTATTTATGATAGTATACTAAGAATAGTGCAAAACGTCTCTTTCCATCTCCCCAACTGGGAGTATTGCACCCTCTTTCACAAGTATATAAAAAGTGCAGGGAAAAGTGGGCTCAACTTGGAGATCACATGTAGCAAAGGATCTGGTTTCTGCAAATCCTTTTCTCCCCTTTTGTAGGGTCCTCATGAAGTTCCCTTTTGTAAACTGAGGCACACTCACTCTAGTGAATTTAGATCTTTCTCCCAAATGCAAAGGCTGAGAATGCAAATGCCAATTTTCGAGATGCAAATCCCCCTTTTCCCTAAAGGGAAGAAAACCAAAGAAAGACAATGTCTATGAAATTGAAGATTTTTATCAAGCAGGGAAATAAGGCCAGTGCATAGGAGCATTTAGCCTAATGCTGAACAGCTCAACTATGTAGTGAGTAGGAAAAGACAGGAATTAGGCTGGTCCCAGGAAGGAATGAAGCAGAGGGTCCCATTCCCAAAGGAAGTCGGGATAGAGTGAGGAATTCCACTTGTCAGAGCTGTGGCCTTTTGATACATTCTTGTATCAAAGAAAACATTCTTGGTGCTAAGCAATCCTAACAGTTCAAGGCTAGAGCACAAATAGTAAGATAAGTGGATGTCTCCAAAAAACAGAAACAGGGTGTGGCCAGAGAGCCTCATAAACAACAGTTAGGGGAATATCTGCAGATAAGGATGTATCTTGAAGGTGCATAAACAATAAAACGGCTCATAGTCTGCTTCAAGGCTGCTATGAGCTTAACTGGCTTCAGAGTTGCTGATTTTCTGCACACCCAGCTCCGTTTACTTGAGGTCACCACAAAGTATTGTTGGCATGCCAAGCCACTTTCTGTTTTAGTTAATACAGCTAGTCCTCATGCAGCTCCTTGGTTACCTGGATAACTGCGGAGCTCAAGCAAGTGAGGTAGTGAGCATATTCATTTACAAATTCACTCGTACACTTTATACACGATGAAGCTTTCTACTGTTTCCCTAGCGAGTAGCCCCTGACCCTGGTGCAGGCAGGCTGGACTACCAGGCCCTGCTGGTCCAGGGGTGCTGGAGGACGCTGAAGACAAATCCAAATTTTTTGACCTGTGGAAGTTAGCAACATCATTCTGGTCAAAGGGTGGGGAGAAGCCTTGCTTTCTCCTCTCACCCCACCCCTACTCATTCAGTCTTGTCCTACTCTATATGACCCCACAGGCCTTTGTCCAAGCTCTACGGAGCCACAGAAGTTTGTGGAGGAAGGGCACCTTGATCGCAGAGATTTAGGAAATTCCCTTTGGGTATCTCGTGGAGAAGGGACTGCAGAAGGGAGTCCAAGCCACCGGGCCCTGACATAGGGCGGGGTCTCTGGTGGGAGAGAAAGGGAGAATTCGGGATGACTGGAGTCAGGAAGACATGGAGGTTTTATGACCCTCTAAGGCAGAGGTCTTAGGTTCAAATCCTGACTTGGATTCTAACGACCTCTAGGACCTCGGGAAGGTCACTCCTCGCCTCAGTTTTCTAGTCTGTAAGGAGATGACCTCGATCCATTCTGTTGTGGAAGCTGGACTCGAGGCAGAGGGGATGGCCTAGACGCATATTTGGGCCACGTTTACGACATTCGGAGCCCTGACGTCCTTGAGCGGCTCTCCCTTAGGGGGTGGCGGGGCACTGGGGTGCTGTGGTGCCAAAAGCCCCATTTCCTCCATCTCGGGTCGCGGCTTAAGTCTCTTTTAGGAGTAACAGGAAGCAAACAGAAACCTCGCCCCGTCCCGCCCCCTTCTCCTTGCCCCACCTTTTCCGCCCAGCGAACCAATGGCGTCTCGTTCCGAGTGTGCTCATCGTTCCCGCCGCGCCAGGAAGGGGCGGGGCGTGGATGCTGATGGACTGTGACCGTCATCTCAGCGCGCGTGCGTACAGCGAGCCCGCCTCCCCTGTCCAGAGCCGAGGGCGGAGGCGGTGGGTGGGGCAGGTCGCGCTCTCCTAGGCGTCTCGCGCTCCTCGGAAGCGCCGCCTCCGGTGCGCTCCTGCGTCAGAGGGAAGCGTGCGGCGCCGGCCCAAGAGCCGGAACGAACCCCGTTCCAGAGTCGAGGCCGGAGTCCGTCCCAAAGCCGGCAGCCGGAGCCACCTCCACCCCGGGGCCAGGCTCTCCCAGGGGCTTCGGGACCTCGCCTAGGGAGCTGGGTCCGGCCAGGGGTGGGGCGGCGCTGGAGGCTGATCGGTCCGAAAGTCCTTGGAGGGTGGTTTGAGGGCCGCAGCCCCCACCCCCAGGCTTCTCGGAAGCCTCCTGGGAGTCCTCTTCGCCCTGGGCTCTGCCCCCAGGAGGCCCTCGTGGTAATAGTCCTGCTAATTAGTAATTACTGCTAGGAACCAAAGGTTTCATCGGACCAAGGGGAGGGAGAATTTGTTGGAGTTTTTAACATAATTTGTTTTTTTCTGTTTTGTTTCTAGAGCAGACATTACATTTTCAAGATGGAAATTCCATCAGATAAAACCACATCCTTACCTGCTACTCCCAAGGCCTGTGAGACTGTAATTCTTTCCCAGAGTAATAGTTCAGGGAAACAGGTATGAAACCGTGGCTAGACTTCATGCTGGGCCAGTCTGGGGCCTCGCGCCTGAAGGCCTGCTGGTGCTTGGAGGCTTCAAGGACCTCAGAGAGCTAAACTGCCTTCTCACTGCCTCGTTGCAGGCCGAATCCCGGCACTCGGGGCTCTGCCGGGGGGCCTCTGGTCTGCCTTTCCAGTTTTGTGCCGCTCCCCTTGTAAGAGCGGGTCTAGAAGTGACTCGTTGAGCCACTTGTTTTATGGAGAAGGAAAAAGGTTCATTGGAGGGACTTGCCCGAGGTTGCACAGATAGTAAGCACCAGAGGTTGGATTTGAATTCAGGTCTTCAGACTCCAAAACCAGTGCTTCCTGTATACTCCCCGTGCCTTGCCTTTCCTCCCATACTTGGAAAAGTTGTTGAAACCCATCCCTTTCTTCAAGAACCAGCTCTTGTCATTTCCTCTAGGAGACCTTCCCTGATGGAGGTACCCAACCCTTATCTGTCCTCTAATTTCTTAAATAATTTTTCATCGACCAATCCTGTGCATTTATACCTTTTCTTATGTTATTTATAATAATCTTTCCTCCCTTCCCCCACCCTCCTTTATATTATAAGCTTTTTAGAGATATGAGGCAGCTAGGTTGTCCAGTGGTTAGAGGGGTAGACTCATCATAGTCAGGAAGATCTGACTTCAAATTCAGTCACAGACACTTAGTAGTTTAGTGACCCTGGGCAAGTCACTTAACCTCTGTTTGACTCAATTTCTTAACTGTAAAAGGGGATTATAGCAGCATCTACTTCCTAGGTTGTTGTGAGGATCAAATGAGATAATATTTGTAAAGTGCTTAGTGAAATACTTTACACATAGATGCTATATAAATACTCACCTCCCCCCACCCATCTGGACAGTTCTTTACTTCTCAGAGCTAAAGTATCTCCTTAAGTAAGCTAGAGTTGTACTAAATGACTTCTAAATCCTTTTAAATCCTATGGTCTACTTTATACATTATGCTATATAACAGAAACTTTTGGTGATCCATTCAGTCAAGGACTACATTCAGCGCCAGCTATAGTCTTAAAATGCCTTATCTTTGTCTTCTCTGTGAGTAGCGAAGTGCTTTTAGTTCAGTAAAAAGCTCTTACTGTGAGCTTAATAATTATGACTGCTGTGTGTGTGTGTGTGTGTGTGTGTGTGTGTGTGTGTGTGTAGTCAGTCAACAAATATTAAGCACCTATTAGATGCTCGGCCCTGTGCTAAGACCTGGGGATACAAAAAGACAGTCTCTGCCTTCAAAGAGAGCACAATCTAATGGGAATGACAACAAACAAATTTGTGCAAGCAAGATTCATTCAGGATAAATAGGAAATAATTAACAGAGGGAAGGCACTCGAATTAATGCCTTCCTGTAGAAAATTAGATTTTAGTAGGTACTTAAAAGGAAGCCAGTAGATAGAGATGATGAGGAAGAGTAATACCGGTATGTGGAACAGCCAGAGAAAGTGCCCAGAGCAGCTTGTTTGTGGAATAGCCAGGAGGCCCAGTGTTTGGATCAAAAAGAATGTGGTGAGGAGTAAAGTGTAACAGAATTGGAAAGGTAGGTAAGGGCTAGATTATGAAGGGGTTTGAATGCCAAACAGGGTTTTGTAGCTGATCCTAGAGTCAATAGAGAGCTGATGCAGTTCGTTCAGGAGGGAAGTGACATGATAAGACCTGCACTCTAGGAAAATCACTTTGGTGACTAAATGGAGAATGGATTAGAGTAGTGAGACTCACCAGCAGGCTATTGGAATAGTCTAGGTTTGAGGTGATGGCACTTGCATTAGAATGGTCGCAATGTTAGAGGACAAAAGGTGGCATCAGAGAGATGTTTCAAAGGTGAAATCAATACCTTGGCAACAGATTAGATAGGGGGAGAGTATAAGAGATAGTGAGGAATTGAGGATAACACCCAGGTTGCTAACCTGAAAGACTGGTAGAATGACATTGATCTTTGCAGTAATAGAAAAGTTGGGAGGAAAGGGAGAAGGAGAAGGATTCAGGGGGAAAGATGATGAATTCAGTTTTGGTTATGTTTAAGAGGTCTACGAGACATTCAGTTCAAGATTTCAGAAAGGCAAATGGAGATGAAAGATTGGAGAGAGTGGGGGCAGGATAGGTAGATTTGAGAATCGTCAGGATAGACATGGTAAGTAAATCCGTGGGAGCAGATGAGATCACCAAGTGGAAGTGCTATAGAAGAGAAAAAAGGTCTAGGATGGAAACTTGTGGGACAAATAAAGTTAGAGGCATGACCTGGATAAATAAGGATTCAGCAAAGGAAGCTGAGAAGAAGCAATATGATAGGTAGAAGGAGAACTAGGAGAGAGTTATAGCTGTCTTGTGGGTGTGTGTATGTACATACACACACAGTGTTTTAAGATTTTATCTATAGATAAGATTAAGATTCTGTATACAGCATTTTAAGACTAGATACAGTGTTTTAGATTTGCAAAGTGCTTTCACTGTATTGGAGTAGAATGTATACTCCTTGAGAGTAGGAACTTTTTCAGTTACTTAGGTGCTTAACAGATGTTTCTCGAATTGTTTTGTTTTATTCCTTTAAACAACACTGTGTTTCTAGAAGTGTTATGAATTTACCCTTGGTCACTCAGCTAGTAGATGTTAGAAGCTAGATTTGAACTGGGGATTCTCATTACTCCATGTCCAGCACACCACTGTATTAAAGCAAAATACATCTTCATTAAATGTTTGAATGGGTCAACAAAAGTTTCTGTTATATAGCATAATGTATAAAGAAGATTTAAAGGTAGAAGAGGCCTTAGAAATCATTTGGTCCAACTCTTATTTTGCAGAAGGAGAAACTTCAGCGTTGAGAAGTTAAAGGATTTGTCCAAGGTTAATATTGCCTGTTTTGCAATACAATGCAAATTGCAGTTGCCTGTTTCAATTAATATTACAATAAACACGATTCAAACCTATTGCTTATCATATCATGATACCTTTTTTAAAAATCTTTATTATTTTTAGGCAGTTGGGGTTAAGTGACTTGCCCAGGGTCACACAGCTAGTAAGTGTCAGGTGTTTGGTCTGAGGTCGGATTTGAACTCAGGTCCTCCTGACACCAAGGCCAGTGTTCTATCCACGGCAATACCTAGCTTCCTCCTCATGATACCTTTCTTAAACATACTGCTTCTCACACTTAACTAAAAATTATGAGTTGTTATTTTTTGGAAACTGGATGGTGATATCACAGAGGTATTTCTGTGTCGTATGTTGAACTACTAGGGTTATGTTGAATTACTAAGGTTCCTTTCAGCTCAGATTCTGTGATTTTTTTTTTCCACATGAGAGAATTTGATCTTTTTTGAGTGCTTTTGTGAATCACTAAAAAGGGTACTACAATTTATCTTTACATATTACTCAGTAACCCTTTAATGAGAGACAGCGTACGCTCCCATTAGGTAGACGTTAAGGTTACTTTCTCTGGATTAATAGGGATAGTTGCAGTGTAATAGGGTGTAGAGAGACAGAATGCATCTGGCATCTAGTGCTATTTGTCACATAAGTAGGGTTTTGTTTGAGTGGCTGCTTTATTTACATTTTAAAAAGTTTTAATGTTAGTTTTTGGTTCGTTCTTTAGCTGATGAGTGCAACACTTAGAGAACGGTTAAAGAAAACAAGAAGTTCATTTAATTCCTGTCATGCTGTGGCAAAACGTCTTAAAGTAGATACTGAAAATAACTCCACCACTTCAAAGGAAGCAACAGCTTCCAGTGGTGGAAGCTGTTCTGCATTTCCAGAAAACTTTAAAAACATGGAAAAAGCATCTGAAGAAAGCCTATCTTTGAAAGACTGCTTAAAGGATGTTGATGTGCATAGAAGCAAGCCTCTTGTTGTCAGTACTCTGCCAGATAATCTCCCCCAGATGGTTTCAGAGGGATATAACATTGGCAAACAAGAATTGCTTGAAGAAAAGATGAAACTGTTGAAACAAGTTCAAGAGAAGGAGGAGCTTCTTCGAAGACTAAAATTAACCAAAATGTATAGGTCAAAGGTAAGAACTTTGAGATCGATTGCACAAATGTTTTGTTGTAAGGGAAATTACAACAAAGTGACAAAGTCAGATTTGTTCAGGTAACATACCCTAATGTTTTATTTATTAGGGAAGAAAACTTTGGCAGTTTTATTTAGGGTAGGTAAACTGCTAGAAAGCCACATCTCCCAAATCGCATACATAGAAAATTGATTTTTTTGAATGAACCTTAAATGTACGAGTTGATATTTATTCCTGTTAAAAAGGTCATTTTATTAGATTAGAACAGCACTGGGCCAAGGCCAGATTCCTGGGGTGCACCTCTAGAAATCTTCAAATAAGTTGGATCAAATCTAATTCATTATACCCTTAGGTTAGGCCTGATGCTGGCACTGTCTTAGTTCAGGTTCAATTTGGGTATGAAATGAAGCACTCATAAGTCATTGAACAGTTTGCAAAAGGTTAACTTAGCCCAAATGTAGCAAGGTTGTGCATCAAGGAGACAGTGACATTTAGCTTTTATAGACATCCTCCCTCCTCTCATACCCACTCCGTAGTGGAAATGTGGGTCAGCCCAGCAGGGTGTAGTGAATTGCTCATCAACCTTTTGATATCCATCGAGTCTGATGAGCCCCAACTTCATTCTGGGTAGAATGCCCTTAGGTGACCAGGAAGCTGTGTCAAGGGAGATGGTGTCAATCAGGTCTCAGGGTCAATTTTGTCAGCTTTTAGGGAAAACCACTACCTGTCAGGAGAACCAGGGAACCCTGGTCCTATCACATCATGACATAATCATTTAACCTATCCACCTATTTATCTAGGCCATACTTCTCAATCTTGTCAGTTCTTTTATTATCCTAGGTTTGAGTGCCTCTGAGCAAGTGTAGGTAGGTGCCCTCTTATTGTCTTACTCATCTTAGGTTCAACTCTATTAGCCCCCCCCCCCCTTCTGGTCCAATGTATATTCTTGGCAGAGGAAGAAAGCATTAAAAGAGTTGACTAAGACTTTTCCTTGTGCCCTTTGTCCATTATTACCCCCATGTCCTTTCCCTGATGTTTATGTCCCTTCTTCATTCTTCCTCTTTATTGTACTTAAACATTTTTCTATTATTATCCTTAGCTTTCCTCACTAGCTTCTGCTCATTTTGAACTTTAGTGCCCCAGATACTCGTCTTACCAGTTTGTGCCCAACTTTTATACTCATCATCAGTTTTATATGTCCCATGCTTTCCTACTTTCTGTATATAGCTTTTAAAAATCTAAGCTCCAAATGAATCTCTTTAAACAGTTCCCTTCTTTCTTGCTTGCTTAAACTAGTTAGATTTGTGCTTTCAGCATTTTCATTCTTGAGAGCTTTCCTTTCCACTTGTGTTAATTTTCTCTCTAGAATTTTAATCCATGGGTTGGATTTACCCACTTGTTCATTACTGTAAAATTCTTCTTGTCTTCTGTGCTTGCTGAACTATTGTGTACAGATCTTACTATACCTGGCTTTCTTTTTGAGAACAAATTCTAGGATTGAGTGGTGACTTTCCTCCAAAGTTCCCGTCATACAGCTCTTCTTTATTAATCTGAATCAGATCCAGAATGACAATTCTTGATCCTTTTTTTGCTTTTATAGGATAATATTAAGGCAAGCCAAGAATGTATTATCTGCTCAGTTTTCAGCAGAGAAAGAATTCCAGCAGATATATATATCCCATCTGGCCATCCCCCAGAGCCATCTTACTGTTTTGCTGCCAGGGATCTGCCTCTCTCAATGTGGAACAGCACTTTTTTCACTGGACCTTCAAAAACCATATTCTCAGTCCCTGGGAGAATTAATCTCAGTTCTGGAACTGTCATCTTGGGCCTGAGCTGTCTTGATTCGTGAATAAATACAACTCACTTGTCCCACTATATTTAGTTGGCTTCTGCTCAGACTATGCTTCATATGCCATCCAGCTCTTCTTCTGGGCTGTTTTTCCATCTGGCCGGTTGCGCTGAGCCGCTCACCCCAGCTTTTCCCTCCTTCGAGAGCAAGCACTCTGATTTGTGTATTTCCAATACGTGGCCCATTAAATGCTTTTGTCATTCATTAATCTGTTAAACACTGTATGCTAAGTGCTAGGAATCCAAAGAAAAAGCAAAAACATACTTCACGGATTCCAGTCTAATAGGGGAGACAACAGTATGCATTAATGGATATAGAGAGAGTAGGTAGGAGGTAAAGGAAAGGGCACTAGCAGCTCTGGGTAGTAGGAAAGGCCTCCTATAGAAGGTGGGATTTAAACTCAGTCTTGAAGCCTGGGATTCCAAGAGGTAAAATTGAAGCAGGACGTCTCAGACACAAAGCACAGCCAGTACAAAAACACGGAAACAGGAGAGGAGTGTGAGGATCAGCATATAGTTCAGTATGGCAAGATCTTACACTGCACTAAAGCAAGTAAAGTATAAGAAGACTACAAAGGTAGGAAGGAGTCAGGTTGTAAACAATTTTAAATGCTAAACAAAGGATTTCTGTTTGGGCTTGATAACATGGTAAAACTTATGCTCTAGAATTTTTTTGACAGCTACATAGAAGACAGATTTGAATGGGGAGAGCAATTAGAATGCCGTTGGAATAGCCCAGGTGAGGAGTGATGTAGGCATGAATGAGGATGGTGACTATGCGGGTGGAAACAAGGGGCTTTACGAAAGATGTTGTGAAGGTAGAAATGACAAGATTTGGCAGCTGATTAGCCATATGGGAAAATTAAGGATGATACCAACTTGAATAACTGAGAAGTTAGTGCCTCAACAGAAATAGTAAAGTTTAGAAGAGGAAAGGGGATGGGAGAAAGATGAGTGAACATAATGAGTTTAAGATGTCTTTGGGACATATAGTTTGAAATGTCCAACATGACAGGGGCTCTCTCTCCCTCTGTAGATCTAGAAATTACAAGCAAAGAGGTGTTAATGGGAACTGATGAGATAACCCAATGAAATAGCATAAAGAAAAGAGAGGTGGGCTGAGGACAGAGCCTTGGGAGACACTTGAAGCTAATGGATATGACGTAGGGGAAGGGCACCCAAGCAAAGGAGACTGAGAAGGACTGGTCTGACAAGTAGGTAGAAGTGTCAGGAGCTGCAGATAGTTCAAGAAGGATGAGGATTGAGAAAGTGCCATTAGATTTGGAAATTCAAAGATCATTCGTAATTGAAGTACCCTGCTGCTGCTACTACATCGTACTTTTTTTCCAGGCTTATAATCTGATTTTTTGCATAAATACTTTCCCCTTATGTTTCTCCACTTTGATTCCTGTATTTTCTCATGTGAATATGTTTTATTATTGTGTAATGTTTGTCAGATTCCTTTTCCTTCATTTTTTTTGTGCCTTTTTAATAAGTTACATCTTTCCAGACTTAAATTCCAGTCTTGAGTTCTGCCCATCAAGTATCTGATATCTATGGGATCAAATTTGCCTCTTTACATTGGCATCCGTAGTTTACCTGGTTGGTTACCAATATTTTTTTGAATTTGAATATAAATACCTGAGGCCATAGATTCTATTAATGGCTCCTTTCTTGGATTTTGTTTCCTTTGAAAATAGTGGAAATCTACTATAATTCTTCCTATGTGGCATTTTGTTAGTAATTTTTATTAATGCAGTTTGTTTTTTACTTCATTTCTAGATATTATCCATCTACTCTCTACAGAATGAGCCTTCTCTTGTCACATTTCATTCTCAGTTATCAAGAAAAGAGTAAGCAAAATTCATGCTTGTAGGGAGAGATAAGACTACTGTTAAAAAGATATTTAAATTCAAAGCTAAAAAGAGAACAGAAGGATCATCCAGTAAGCATATATTTTTTAAGTGTCTAATATGTCCTGTGCACTGTACTAAATGGTGGGTGTATAAAAATAAATAGGTCAGTCAATAAGCATTTATTGAGTGCCTACTATGTCCCAGACACTGTGCTAGTGCTAGATATACAGAGAGGCACAAAAGACAGTCTGTGCTCAAGGAGCTCACAATCTAATGCAGATAACTATGTAGAAACAAGCTACATACAGGGTAAACTGGAAATAATCAGCAGAGGCAGAGGTGAGGAGGGGAGGGCATTCCAGGCATGGGGAAAAAGTGAAAATGCACAGCGCTGAGAGGTGGGGTTTCTTGTTCAAGGAATAGCAAAGAATCTGATGTCACTGGATCAAAGAGGATGTGGTGAGGAGGAAATTATAAGAAGACTGGAAAGGTGGGAGAGGGCTAGGTTATGAAGGATTCAGAATTTGAAACAGGATTTTGGATTTACTCCTAGAAGTGATAGGAAGCCACTGGAGTTTATGGCAGGCAGACCTACCAAGAAGCTATTGCAAAACTGTCCATTTTACCTCCTGAAAAACTGTTTCCTGTTGGTCATAAACTCTTTCCTTGGCTATAGATGGGACAATTAATTTCCTCCTTGTTCTTCTAATTGGCTTAAGTTGTCACCCATGTCTAAATCATATATCCATTTGGAACTTATCTTGGTATGTACAGTACAAGATACTGGTCTACACCTAATTCTTCCGAACTATTTTCCAGTTTTCCTAATAGTCTTTGTTGAATTGTGAGTTCTTGCACCAATAGCTAGGATCTTTGGTTTATCAAACATTAGGTTATTATACTAATTTGCTTCTCTATTTCATGTACTATTCCACTGATTAAACTCTCCATTTTTCAAGCACTACCAAATTGTTTTGATAGTTATAGCTTTGTTGTGTAATTTGAGATCTGGTATTGCTAGCTAAGCAAAAGCATGACACAGCGACCATGTCTAATGGTATATGGAACGTTTACACCCTAAGTCCATCACCTCTTTATCAAAAGGACAGGGAGATTAGCTTCCTCATCTCTTTTCCATGGCCAAGATTATCATTACAATTACTGAAGAATTTAGCTTTGTATTAGTGTTCATTTTCTTTGTTTATGTTATTGTAGTCATTTTGTGTATCATTCTCCTGTTGCCTTCACTTTATCATTTTACACGTCTTTCCATGTTTCTTTTTTTTTAATTTC